GTGGGGCCGGGCCGGGCCGGGCCGGGGGCGGGGGCGCCGAGCTGGTTTCCGGGGACGTGTTTCCACGTCGCCTCCGGCGCGCTCGGGCGCTTTGTAGTGTTTTCATTCCTCAGTTTTCCGGCATCTCGCACAGCCGAGGGTCAAGCGGTGTGTGTCACGCGACGCCGGGGGCGCCTGAAGGCGAGGCCGGCTCTCTCTGCGCCCTCAGCCTCGCGGAGCGTTGTCTGCTCGGAAATGCTAGAAACCCGCGGCGTTATCTCGGCTGCTGACAGCCGTTCCTGTTTCCGTCCCCATCTCCTGCCGTCGTCGTCCTGCATCGCCGCCTCGTCCCCCGTGGCCGAGTGCCGCCGTCTCGAGCCCGCGCGGCAAGGTGGCGGCCCCTGAGGCGGGGCTCCGACTCCTGGAGTGCCCACGGGCAGGGGACGGGAAAAGTGCGGTGACCCGGACGTCTCATCTCACAGCGGGGGAGCTGGGACCTGAGGAATTGAAGAGCTGTAACCGGGGTCGCGTGGTCAATAAAGAAAGAGCTGTTGCCACCAGTGCTTGGTTCCAAGATGTCAGTCCGGCTTGAAACCTTCCCCCGTTCTTTATTTCTTTTTCACCCGTGTAAAAACCCACCAAGTGAGAGCATGTTTCCTGAGCCGGGGACTGGGCAGCAGCCATTCACACGGTGATGAGCCGAGCAGCGTCTGTGCCTGGTGTGGTGGGAAGAGCTTGGTGGGAGTCCTAGAGACCAAGCTGGGGATCGGGGTGCAGATTTCCAGTCAGACGCTTGACCAGCTGGACGACCTCATCAAGTTACCCGATGTCTCCCATGTTCAGTCTCAGAACCTTTAAAACCAGGGTGGTAATATTCACCTCACCAAGGCTGAACGTTGATGGTGGTTTAAACGAGTTAATACGCAAAATGCCCTCTCTCTTATGCTTCTTGGAAATACTGATTTTTCCCATGGGGCTTTAAAGAGGAAGAGTCGCATGATAAAGGGCGAGAGCGTATTTTAGATCGATAATGAGATGGCCACAATAATCACCCATCGTAGATGTCCACATCCACGGAATCTGTGAATATGTGACCTCACATGGCAAAAGGGACTTGGCAGATGTGCTTAAGGATCTTGACGTAGGGAGGTTAGCTTGGATTTCCTGGTGGGCCCAAAGCAATCACAAGGGTTTTGATAAGTGAAAGAGAGAGGCAAGAGAGTTCGAGGAGATGTGCCGATAGGAGCTGTCTATGTTCTTTAGGTACATTTAAAAATCATTCCAAGATTCTGGCTTCCGCTGTTGCCTATGAAAAGTCTACTGTCAGTTTCTTTGCAGGACATACGGTTTTTTTCTCTGGCTGCTTTTAAGATGTTTTTCTCTTAGACTTTGATTTTCTGCTCTTTTACTATGTATGTTTGGAAGTGTATTTGTTTTTGTTTGTGATGCTTAGGATTCGGCAGGCCTCTTGAGTATATTGATTGATGCTTTTCATGAGTTCTGGAAAATTTTCAGCCATTACCTCTTTGGTATTGCTTCTGCCCCACTCTTTCTTCTCTCCTTCTATAACCCTAGTTAAGTGTATGTTAGATCTTTCCTATCCACTGTTTCTCTTACCTTCTCCTTTTTATATTTTCTAGATTACTAATTCTCTCTCCTATGGTGTTAAACTCATGTACTGAGCTATTAAGTTTTTTTCTTTTTGGTAATTTTAGGTTCTAGAATTTCTATTTGATTGTTTGTAAAATCTATTAGATTCATTTTTATAGTATCTAACTCTTTGCCAAAATTGTCAGTCTTGACTTTTATCTCTTTGAATATAGTAGGCATCATTGGTGTACTTTCTAGGTCTCTGATAATTCCAGTATCTGGAGTCCCATTGGGTCTGTTGTTGGTTCTTTGTTCTAGTTATTTGTTGTGTATTGTTTATGCTGGTCCTCACTCATGTTGTCTTGTCACCTATCTTCGTATGCTGGACATTGTAACTGAAACACTTGAAGAAATAATGTGAGACCTATGATGATTTTTTTTTCCACAGGATTTTCATTTTCTTCTGGCAGGCACCTGAGGGCACCAACAAACAGGATCACTCTAATCCAGATGGTTGGGAACCTTGGGGGGACTGATTTAGTTTGGTTCGCCCTTACCTCCTAGGGTACTGTCCTTCTGAGTACCGGCCAAAAACATGTTTACCAGAGTCACCACTCTTGACAAGTCCTAGACTCCATGTTTTGTTCCCGTAGATCTCTTTTGAATCTGAAAATGCTCCCAGGGCAAAAGCACTCTGAATGTATAGACCCTATCCTCTTCTGCTTCTTGGCCAGGTAATTCGTCACTCACTACCTGGTTGGCTTTTTGATAATTTTAAAATGTTGTTACCGGGTACCTCTTTACTTGGCAATGTTCAAAAAATGACATATTATTATAGATTACAAAGAAAAATGCATAATAATAATGACAACAACAACAACAAAACTCTACCACTGGGTACCTTCTATGTACTAGCCTCTTTGTTAGACATCTTCTAGTCATTAATGTAAATAAATGAAAGATTGGAGACTTGGGTTCTTGTCCTGGCTTTACAACTGACTAGCCAAGTAACCTTAGACAAGTCCAACCTCAAGTCCTTCCATAAAGTCACTCTCAGTTCTGAAATTATTCAAATCTACGTAGAATTGAAAGTCCAAGGCGCCTTGGAAGGAATTTGGCAATGGTACGTTAAATGTTGCAGAGGAACTTCCTTCTAGCCTTGCTGCATGAGTTTCCTTTTGCTGCTATAACAAATTACCACCAATGTAGGGGCTTGGAACAACACAAATTTATTTTCTTACAGCTCTGGAGATCAGAAGTCCAAAATGAATCTTACTGGGCTAGAATCAAGGTGTTGGCAAGGCTGCATTTCTTCTGGAGGCTCTAGAGGAGAATCCATTTTCTTGCCTTTTCCATCTTCTAGAGGCTGCCCATATTCTTTAGCTGTGGCCCCCTGCCCACAGTCGCATCACTCCAATAATATAAACAATATAAAATCAAAATATTTAAGAAAAGTAGCAAAGAGGTTGGAAAGGAGATAATGTTCTAAGGTTCTCTGTCCATCTGCTGCTTCTCTTTATAGAAGAGTTTTCTCTCCTTTTCCATGCACGTGGCTAGGCAACACTGGCATCCTCAGCTCCAGAGTTCAAATAACCACCATTCAAGAAAATGGCCATATGTCTTAGTTTCAATTACAAAATCTATGGAGAAAGCAACTGATTAGCTCAGTTTTTATAGGCGTCTACTCCTAGTCCAATCAAGTTTGTCTGAGGGCGTGGGGTGGCAGAGTAAAAACACCTTACAAATTCCACTATATGAGTTAGGAAAGGGTGGAGAATTGTCAGTGAAAGACAGTTGCTTTGAGCTAAGCAGACACCCAAAGGTTGTCCAACACATTCCACCTATTGGATGACAACACACAGACAAACGCCTGATGGTTGGGGAAGGCAAATCCAAATCCATAAATATTTAACACATGCTGTCATTCCCACCTACTCCGAATAAACCAATGCTGTAATCTCTGTAGGAACATGATTTTGGTTCTGACAGACTACAGGCCATAATTTAGCCCTGCAGTCCCCAAACTTTTTTTAAAACTCTCACCCCTGTCAGTATGACATTTTTAAACATGCAGCCATAATATATATAAATGTAAATATTATTTTATTAAGGCATTTTATGGAACATTTTTATACCATGAACACATATACAAATATAAGATTTTAAAGGATGAAATAAACAGGATTTTTAAGTGTCTTGCTAATCATAATGACCTCATATTATCATTAGTGGATGTAAATCCAAATTTCAAATAGTCTTCTTGAAATTTTGAGGCCTCCTCCTTTTAAGTCTGATTGAATCATCATTGTTTTCATCTCATTATGTGGCTGACCAGAATTCGTACTAGAAGTAGACAAGTGTTGACGCTGCCATTTTCTTGTCTTTCACTTGTACTTTCATTGTTAGTATCAGTTACGAACCATTATTTCTTAGGATTCTTTTTAAGACACTCAGGCATTTTGTGATGGTTAACTTAGTTAAAACTGGAAAATATAGTCTATGAGTTTATGTAACTGGGCTCTCATAAACTGCCACGTGTCACAATGTGAAGTGTATTAAATGCGTGAAGTGTATTAAGTGCCTGTGTGAGGGGATCCCTTTAGAATCCTCTGCTTTGGGAAGGTAATCCCCCTCTTTCCTCAGGGTTGCCCCCAACAAGAGGGATGATGTGGGAAGCGAAAGAAGATAATGATTCAAAGCTCCTCCCTATCGTGGGCCCCTTATCCTTTCCACTCCACTTTCCTCGCTGTCATACATCCCCCTTCATGTTGGATGGGGGTTGGACTGGCCGAGATTCTTATGGGATCAAAATGGAAGTTGAATGAGGTGGTACATTTAATTTGGAAATTTAATGGAATCTTTAATGGAAAAGATATATGTGTAAGTTATTGTTAGTCATCCTGATGACAGGAATGCTTTCCAGGAATATTTTTGCTGTGCTGACTCGCCCAGCTTCTGGGATATGAAGATGCAAGGCCAGAGGTCATATCGTGGTCTGAGTGTGTCCAGCCATGCTAGGCACTAGAAGGATGTGGGTAGTGGAGGAGAAACAAAGTTTGAAATGTATGGAATCAGATACGATTCTTTAGAAAATTAGTCTACAGAGACATGCAAAATTATAAGTGGAAGATTTGGTTCTCGTTAATGCCTCATCAAAACGGAAGTCTCTACTGGCAGGAATACACTAAATAATGAGGCATATAAAATTATCAACTCACCATACTTTTTTTTTCTCTTTACGAGAAAAATCACATGAAATTGAAATTTCTGTTTCTTTTCTTCTACTAAATAACAATTTGCTTTCATTCCTTATTTTGTATTCATAATTTTTTGTTCTTTTTCTTTAAGAAAGCTCTCAAAATAGAGATGTATCAGGCCCCAAAAGACCTAGATTCATGCCTGTCACATACCTTAGTGACATGAAACCATTTGACATATGAATTGATGAGGACAGTAGTGTCAATTCATATATTAACTATTAGTTAAACTTAATTTTTCAATTTTTTAAATAAAAAAATAGGGGCCGGCCTGGTGGAGTAGTGGTTAAGTTCACACGCTCCGCTTTGGCAGCTTGGGATTCGTGGGTTCAGATCCCGGGTGCGGACCTACACACTGCTCATCAAGCCATGCTGTGGTGGCAGCCCACGTACAAAATAGAGGAAGATGGGTACAGGTGTTAGCTCAGGGCCAATATTCCTCAGCAAAAAAAAGAGGAATATTGGCAATGGATGTTAGGTCATAGCCAATCTCCCTCACCAAAAAAATAATAATAATAATTAAAAATATATATATATATAAAAGTACATGATCTAATATGTTTCCACATCCCAATGAATAGATTTGTATACTCCACTTCAGAGAATATTGGTTAAATCAACTATTTTTCTACGGCTAAATAAGAAAGACTTGCTACAAGCCTAGAAAAGTAGGGCATCACACCCTCTACTGCCTCTCCTTGAAATGGTCAGTTCCACATTTCAAGCACTGCACTTCCTGTTACCAAATTCCGTTAGACTGAACCACATAAAATTGTAGTTTTTATAGGTCAAAAATGGTCTAACATTGGCAAATTCATAGGTTCACCCTAGTATATCCTTTAGGATGCATTCAGTTGCAAGTAAAAGAAACAAGACTCAAATTGACATAAACAATAAAGAAACATATGGTGAGGATATCAGTGAACTCAAAATTGACTAAAAGCCTTGAGAACTAAGTTTGGAAAACAGGCAGAAACCAAACAAGGCAAACAGTCAGGATCATGCTGCAGAGATAAACTTTCAGGAAGCTACTTCTGGCATTGTTGCACTAGACAATTGCTGTCACTCTGCTGGACTGCACCATTGATGGTTGCTCACTGCTAGACTGCCACACCTTTGACTCAGCTGC